CTCATTTGCAATGTCGACCTGCCTAATCTGCATCCCTCTGCCAAGAGAGGAATGCAGTCTAGACATACCCCTACTTACTAATGCAAGAAAAAGACCATAGGTAAAGGTGTGTGTGTGGGGAAGGTTCTGCACAGCACTATGGACTTCATAATACACCTTCCTTATACAACCAAACATCATGCTAGGCCAACAGATAGCTCTTGTGTCCCAAAGAATTCCCTCTCACTCCTACCCCAACCATTTGTGCACCTTAGTTCCATCACCCTTAGTGGGATTTGATTTGCTGGAGGAATGTCCAGGTTTTAATATTTCCCACTTGCAGAAGGCATTCAATTTCAACTTGGATTGACTGGAGGGAGGAACGCACAAGCAGACAGTGCGCTATTTACAGGGATGTTTAATCAGTACACACCCCACAGCTCCATGGAACCTTAAATAGCTCAGTAATGTAACTGAGAATTGTTCATTTTGTTCCTTGCTGGCATTTTTCTTCTTCAAACAACTGTCTGCTTCTTTCGTTTCAGCCTCAGAAAGTGCTATTAAAGCCATCAGTAATAAGAATGTTTCTGTTTGGGAAAGGTTCTGGGGAATAGTGAATCTCACTATGACCTGGTCTATACTAGGCCAGGAAGGTCGGCTTAAGGTATGCAACTTCAGCACGTAAACTGTGTAGCTGGAGTCAGCTTACCTTAAGCTGAGCCTTGGTGGCATCCACACTCCTCACATCCAAATGCTCCCCTTGGCTTCCCTTACTTCTTTCAAAAGGAGGAGTACTGGATGCCGGTGGGAGCAGCCCTCAGAGTTTGATTTAGCCGGTCTATACTAGACCGGCTAAATCAAACACCAGAAGATCAAGCTCTTGAGCATCGATCTCCCGGTAAGTATTGATGTGTCCTATATGTATACATAACACCTAGCACAAAGAGTATGTAGTCATACTAGTAATGTAGTCATAACAACAATAGCTTGTTAAGATGTCTGATCCAAAGTCTATTGAAGGCAATGGTCCTAGGCAGTAACACTAAGGGGTGCAGTAGCACTTCCTGTCTTGAAGTAGTAATAGCAAGCCAAATATATGGTTTCTGCCTTCATCACTATGGACCATGATAGTTGATTTCAGACCATTGCAAGTCCTTTCCAGCCACTGAAAACACTTTATCAATGAGAATAAGTCCTACAGCTCAGCATTGATCCGCAACCGTTATCTTCACTCCATGGCTCAGGGACTCAAGTTTATTTTCAGGCACAAATCTAGGTCCTCTTTTTCCTGGTCCTAAAAAGATTTGTATTGTCTGTCACAAGCTTTCCAACCCTGGAAAATCATGTGAGCCTGGTCCATAAAATCATGACATTCTGATTCCCTACTTCCTTTGTAATGTTCTTTCTGGAACCATGCTACAGCTATTATCTGGAATGAGATATTAGTGATTTGCGAGATCTTCAGGCTTATATCATTCATAAGTTATTGGTTTTATGACCGTCACAGTTCCTGCGACGGTGCTGCTTAGAAAAAAAAGCCATAGAAGGATTTAAATTAGGTAGATGGGGGGAAACAAGATGGTAAATCAGAACATATTGTACAGACCAATATCTTACAGCCTGCCAGAGTTCAAAATAAATTCTTTCTACCATTGAGAGAATGAAATTCCTAATTTTCCAGTGGTATAAATCATGCAAGTCTAACCCTGGAGGTTTATGGGCTATTAACCCTTAAAACTGTCATTGGCTCTTTACTTAGCAGTGCCTTTATGGCACATGTCCAGGGCTGAATATATCAAGTCCCAGATTTCAGACTGGAGTAATTTTCAACCTCCCTGCGTCTCTTCTATTTAATTATCTGTGGAGTTTGTAAGGCAGACAAATGACTATCTGGGAAGGAGGCAGAAACCACCCTGACACTTTCATTTGTGTCCAAGTTCAAATTGGAACCCAGATCTTATGCAGTAAGAAGTTTTCTACACTCTAATTATAATTAAAGTCACCTTAGCAGCTCTGTAAGGGTGAGATTATGTAATGCTAGGCACAGGAGATACCTGATATAAGCCCACATTCTTCATTGTCAATTCATGCAACCCAAAATACCAAATTAATACGTAACACTTTCCAATATGCCTCACATGTCAAAGTCATAGAGGTCTAGACAAACATTAGATGAGCTATGTGTAGTATCAGAAGAGTAGCAAACAGCTGTAAGTGGGTGGCCATTATTTTGCATGAGAAAATCCTTGGAGGTTACGGAGCTGCTAAGCTTTAAACTTGAAACCACCACAGTATTTCAAGCCCATTTTCAGTTCAGTATTTTGTCTTTCTTCTGGGACAGCAGATAGAAAGGAGAGTATGGAATCTACCCTGAGAAGCAGAGACTCTTTTGCTCTCTAATCTGGTCCCGCTTATCCCTAAGCAAAAGAATATCTGTCATCAAGAGAGCTTTGACAGTCTTTGTAAAGCATCCCAGAACATCTGCACCTATAAAAGAGTCCTTTGGTTTATTATAGGGATTTGAGAAAGGTCAGGTTTAGGGAGGATAAGCTACCATTGTCTAACTTCAAAACCAATAGAAATTCCAGGTGGGGTAACATGATAGTCAAGGTTAACTGCAAGTATTTTTGGGGAGGGAGACAGCCAATAGCCTAACCAGAGTGTGGCAGGGCTAGGAAAAGAAGGGCTTTTCCCTATAAAAATTACACACTCTGGCCAAAGTTAGAGTAACTATGGGAAGTGCTTCTGAGCCACATTTTATGGGCCATCTAGGAGCATTAACTCAGAGGAAGGACTGAAGGTTTTTTAGAACTCCCTTTATTGGTGCTAGTTCAGCAATACGTACTGTCTGATGCCTCTCGCTAGATAACACCAACTTCGCTGTCAGACAAGACTCAAAGCTATAATATGCAAGATACATGCTTTTCTGTGGATCATGGGGCTCTTCCATTGCTCGCAAAGCATCAATACAGTAACTAGAAAAGCCTCTTCTCTAGCATGAAAGGAGACAGAGGATGAAATTAATGAAGAGAAAATCTAGCACGTGAATACTAGTTTGCAGCTGACAATGAATGCAAAGGGGCCAATGAGGGAGTGGGCAGGCCAGGGTCCTTTGAATAATCCTTTCTTACTCTGCTCTTTTACAGCTGCTAATCCCCATGTTCATTTCAGATGCAAGCTCTTTCCTGGGCTGGTACAGGAGAGGTGGAACAACCGCCGCATGAGACAGACTATGAACTCTCCCATTAGTAGTGTGTCCAAAATTCACCACCAGTGAAAAATGCAGTGAGGTTAGACTGGTTGATTTGAATTGACCCTATTGATTTAATCAAAAAAATGTAATGTTTAAGCTTTATTACTTAGAAATGTGAAATGAAAAGACACAAAAGAGAAACTCTCATTCTATGTCTAGGTCTCTCTTTAGTTCTCTGTTATAAAAGTGTTCCAACACTTGCTAAGGCATCAGAGAATACATCCCATTTAAAGGCTCTGGTTTTGAAGTATTACAGGGTACATATAGGTATAGAATCACAGAATCATACAATCCGAGAGCTGGAAGAGACCTCAGGAGTCATCAAGTCCATCCCCCTGCCCAAAGCCGGATCAACCCTAACTAAATCATCCAGGTACCCTAGCTAAAACCTCCTGATACATGTTAGAGCATGTTTGCTAACATACTTAACATGTGCAGTTATATGTTTTCCTCTCTACTACTTTATTCCAGCAACTGTAGGGGAAGTTTAAAAATGAACATTCATAAAACGCATTTGCTAAATGCGGGGGGAGATATTACATCAGACTTTCTGCCCTATTCATTGGATAACTGCAGAATATTGGCTTTTGTTCTAGCTTCTGTATAAATTGAAGAGTTGGTAAAGAATACATTCCTATGCCACTGGACGGTGTGTGTGACTAGAGACATGTCCTGGTTTTCTATTTATGCCAGACAGACATAACATTTTACCTGCCCAGTGCAATGACAGTTTTGTCAAGATGAAAAGACTCGCCAGGAATCAGTTCTGCCAACTAACCAGACATTAAGTTGTACAACATGTAAGAAAAACACTTCAAAAGATTTAACTGCAGAAAGTAGGACTCAGCGATCACACAGAGTCAAGTATTATAATCTTCTCTCTCAGTCATACCAATTTAGGTCAATAAGATCATCGCTTAGGGTTACCACAAAACTGTGATGCACAGAGAACTGGTTAAGCATAACAAAGTAACTCTGATTAGCACTCAACGTGGCCCTTTTTTTTTTACCTAGCATGCTAGCAGAATTTCAACCCTCTACTCTGGAGTCCCCTTACTCTGTTTTAAATACTTAGTAATAAAATACCAGCTGTGTCTGTCTTTGTCTTTTGTTCCCCAGTACAGAGTCAGATGTCACTGGAAGAAACTGGAGCTCAGTGGAGGGGGGAGGAAAAAAATGTGCACAAGTGTGAGTGTAAGTGGCCAGTTAAAAATTTAAACCTTTCCAAATCTTTTCACTTCATACATCACAGTCTAGCGATGGGAATGATTTGAAGTGTCTCAGAATTAGAAGTGGGGTTAGCTTTCCTACGGGGGTTAGCTTTCCTATGGGGGACACTTTCTTTAGTTGCCTGAGTAGCAAAATACACCTGAGGAATTCCACTTCAAGCAGATGTGCATTTTGTACCCACCTTGTCATCTACATTTTGTCTGCATTTCCACAGAATCTAGCACTCAACAATCCCAACACTCATTCATTCATTGGTTCATTCATTCGATCAAGCCAATGCCATTGAGACAATCATCTGATTATATCAGACACCAGAAAATAAAAACAGACTGAACACATGCACACTTCATGAAAAAACATTCCCAGATGAGATCTTCTGGCAGTTCACAATGAATAAAAGCTGTGACTGTAAAGTTCACTAGGGCAGATTCTATGATTGAAGCTTAAAAATAGAAAAAGCTCCTGGGCTTTTTTTGTTGTTGCTGCTGTTCTTTTGGGGTTTTTTAGATTTAACAATTGTCTGATGAAGCAGACTTACCTTACAAGCTTTGATATGACTCAGATCCTACCACGAGCAGCCTCCATGAAATAAATAGGATGTAAAAGTCAGCCACTGCCTTTCCACTTTGTTGCTGTCCTGTCAAAACTGAGGAAAAGTTGTCTTGTCTTACAGTCTGTGTGTATCTGAGCGAGAGGGAGAGGTTTGACAGTATGGCAAACTGTGGCCAGAGCAGCCAGCTTCTGCCTGGTTTTTATAGCTGAGCTAGAAGCTCTGATCCTTGTCTCATTCCACTGTAATGGGATGCCTCAAGGCAAGCTTTCCACGGTTTTTTTTCTCCCCCTTTCAGTTGGCGAATTAAAGGAACAGCCTCCAGAGTCCCTCTGGAGCGTGGGTTAGCTTGTGAAACACACACACGCACACACACACACACACACATTCACGCACACACACAAAGGTATTTGCATGAGTTTATGGCTAAAGAAGGAAACCCCCAGCTTCACGAGGGAAAAAAAAAAGTCAGCACAGGGCAAGTGACTCAGAGAGAATATTTTCCTTACAGCATCAGCAAAGTATATTGTCAGAGTTTTTAGTGTCTCTCCCCCCACAACGCCACCCCCCATTATTAATATTGTGAAACAAACTCCAGTCAGGGTGTCCTGCAGAGTCCGGGTCCAATGGTACCTCTCACACATCCCAGCCCCGTCAGCCTCTGTAAATCAGCCAGACGTCCCTGGATTGATGCCCGTTTACACCAGATGAGGAGGAGGCCCAGGGAATTGCAACCTTGCATGTCTCATTAACAAATGTCTCTGGGCTGCTGCAAACTCAAAGGCTGGGTGAAGGGGGGGAAATCAGGGGAGCAAAGTCTGAGCTGAGCTCCGGCCAGACGCCTTGGAAAGGACGGAGAAAAGAGAAGCCTTGTCTTTCTTCTCAGGAGCCAATCAAACAGGATTATGTGTCGGGAGTGCGTGGGGGTGTTTGGAGAGATAATCTGTTCTCCTTTGTGATGCTGGTGTTTCTTCCATTTGGGGACAAAGGCCCCCCCCCCCACTCTCAACCCCTTTCCTCTCCCAATGCTATCAGTAGTTCACAGACCACTCTGCACAGTGTATTCCAAGGGCATCTTTTTGTTTTCTCTCTTCCTCGCTTGAACCTCAGGTTTGTGATTAAGGATTAGGGGTGTCCCAATTTAAGGGAGTCAGAAAACTCACAAATTTTTCCTATCGGGCATTATAAACTGGCCCATTCAAGTCATCCCATTTACTTACCTTTTAAAAAACCTTCTAAGTTTCAGTCCTGCCTTCCCCTAGCTTCTGTCCCAATCACACATCTCTGAGGTTCTTCCAGTAAGCAAGCACGGCCATCGGATGCACTCCCTTTGGCAAGCCAAAGTCCCTGAAGTCGGTGCAAAGAGAGCGGTTAGCTTCAACGAGTGATGAATCAAGCTCCTAAAAAACCAGAGGGATCTTTTTTGAGCTACAATCTAAGGGCACCACCTGGATCCTGGCTGGAATTAAAATTGGTTGACTAGCTCCTTCCAGCTACTTCACCCATCTGACTGCATCTCCTGTCACCTGGCTTTTCCTAGGAACTCAGGATTTGCCACAAAGCATCAGACCACATGTCTATCAAGTCCAGTAGCCTGCCTCCAGCAGCAACCTGTCCTTGCTGTGTTAGGGGAATTACACTCCAGGGAATATCCTAACATGTTAAGCATAATAGATATGGTCAGCTGTGCTCTGCTACACAGGGAGAAAGCGGAGGAAAAGAAATCCTGACCTGGGGCAGTCGTCTTAAACCTTGAATCCTGAGACTTTCATAATAATTGTTCCAGATACAAATGGTTAGAAGATTATCCAGTCTCTGTTTAAAAACAATGACACATCGTTCTATTGTTTGACTCGCTTGTGGATCAGCTGGAGCGGGTGAGAAAGATATGGAAAATTAAATTTTGTATTGGACGCTTCCTCCCATTTGAAAGGTAAATGGAAGTGTCACAGTTCAGATAATTCCACCCACATCCACAATCAGTCCAAAAAACCAAGGGAAGAAATCACAAGATTGTTGGAAATTTCCTCCAATTTGCCTCCCCCCCAAGTTTAAAAATGTCAACAAAATCTCCAGTTGTGACTGTTTTGGTAACATCTAGTGTGTTTGCGTCTCTGCATACACGAATTCAGGAGAGAATTGTGATTCAGGAAGTAGTTATGTACAGGGTTAAAGGGAAACGGGATTTATGGGCTTCACAAACTAAGGATGTATTTAAGCAAAGTGTTTCTTACCACTGCGCTCCAAAATCTCCATGTTACCAGTTGTCTCGCATCTGTTCTTTATATTCTGGCTATTGCAAATATCTCATTTTTTTACAGTGGTGGTGCTTATCCTTTGTTAACAGCGGCTTCTATTTTTCCCAGACAGCTCAGGACCATCAGGGATAAAGCTGGTGAAGCATCCAAATTTTGATTTTCTGTGAAAAAGCAGGGTGATTTTTGTTCACACTTTGTTTTGGGGGGAAGAGGTGCAAAACATTTGTCCTGTTTTCCAATTAGCTGCAGAGCTTGTCAAGAATACACAATACACAAGAAGGCTTTCAAACCTCCCTTCCCTCCCCCTTCCAATTTATGACAAGTCCTGTATTTTAATTGTTTACATATAGTTCTGTTTTCAAAAAGTTGGGTATGTCTATAGTGCAACACTATTTTGAAATAACTAGCGCTATTCCGAAATAACGTAGTTTGTATCTGCACAGTAGGCAGTTATTTCAAAATAATGTTGAAATACTGTCAACCTGGAGGACTTCTTATTCCGACTCCTGTAACCCTCATTGTACAAGGAATAAGGGAAGTCAGAGGAAGAGTGTTCTATTTCAACGTAAGTGCGGTGTAGATATTCCCTATTTCGAAATAAGTGATTTCGAAATAAGATACGCAATTGACATAGCTCGATTTGCATAGCTTATTTTGAGTTAAGGTCTACCGTGTAGACACACCCTTTGTGTCCCCCTACTGGCAGTTGAAACAAAAAAAATTCCAGGTTGGAAATCAGATGCACATTTTTAACAGTCAGAGTAATTAACCATTGGAACAATTTTCCAAAGTTCATGGTGGATTTTCCATCATTCACCATTTTTAAAATCGAAATTGGATGCTCTTCCAAAAGGTCTGCTGGGATGTTCTGAAAGACTTTGGAGAAATTTTGGGCCTTGTGTGGTAGAGAGGCGTCAGGCAAGATGGTCTCGTCTGGCCTTGCAATCCATGAACGAATCGCCAATAGAACCTGGGAGAGAAGTTGGAGACATGCTAAGAGCCAACCACTGTCTTCTAAACATACCACATCCCCATGGTTCTGGACAGGTGGGACCTGGACTGCATCTTCTTTCAAGCTGCACTGACAATGATAGGGAAATCCTCCACTGTTGCTCTATCATGAGGATATCTCTCCCAGCACTCCAGTGGGAGCGTTGGATAGACAGAACATGAGCATGTCTCCAACTTTGCTCACTTGCTCTACGACAGATCTCCCCCACAGCTGGCTCTTGTGAAAAGCAAAAAGTTGAACCCTGAGTGCAGTGTGATCTATTTGGCATTTAAACATAATGGGGGTCAGGAGAGGTTTCTCCCCCATATATTCATTGCTCAGTTGGCTAAGAGTATTACGGGCATTCACAAGGTCATGGGGTCATAATTTAGGACAAGAAGGGACTGTTAGGATAATCTTGTCTGGCCCCCTGTCTAACTCAGGCCATGGTACTTCCCATTTCTCAAGTACATTTCAATTATTGGCTACTGCTGAAGCATGATCCTAGACTCGATGCATCAATGCTCTGATCTAAGAGAAGAAAACCTCTGTTCTATGGTGCTTGTATTTATGATTCATTCAGGGTTGTCCCTTCTAGCAGTCTCTTAGGCGATGCTTAGGAAACAGTTAATTTCATTGTCCCAATCCATACACTTATAATCTGTCACAGAAAGCTAAAAGTGGCAGATTGTGAAAAGTCCTTCACTCTGTTTTTCTCTTGGTAACTGTTGTTAATAACAACCTTTTGCCTTCACTTGTTAAAACCTGTTAGCCATTATTTTCCTCTTTGTTGTCTCCACCCACTATTCTATGTAAAATGCAGACACGGTTCCCTATAAGATTTATGTCAGGTAAAAGTTCAGACCTGTTCCTGTTAACAGGCGTGTTCTAGTTTTAGCCTATCTTGTTCACCCCTCCCTAATCATGTTTCAATGCATGTATCAGTATATTTTGTTAGTCTTTAAAGCGCTACCAGACTATTTGTTGTTTTTTAAGTTTTTTCAGTATTAATAGTTTCCCTGAATGAGAAGCAAAACAAAATTGAATCAATGGGGTGGTAAGGTTCTCTTGTAAAGGATTCTGGATCAGAGATGCACATTTAGGCACTGGTCCATATCAAACAGGACAGAACCCTATGTCTCACAGCATGCAGCATTCACTCTTGAGAAATAAAATTCGACAGCAAGCTTTGTTTTAGAGAGAGGGGGGAGGTAGGAATTTCATGCTACATGAAAGCAAAAGTGTTAATTATGTAGCTGGAGTCAACGCACCTTGATTCGAGTGTCCCCACCATTCTCACAGTGGGAGCCAACGGGAACAAATGCTCCAGTTGGCTTCCCTTAGTTCTCTCAGGAGCAGTAGAACCAGCTGCCAATGGAGACACCCTCTGAGTTTGATTTAGTGGCTCTTAACTAGACTTGCTAAATCAAACTCCAGAAGATCGATCATGTCAGCTTCAATCTTCTGCTTGGTGAAGACATGTTTTTACAGAACATCAAGACACATTGAAAAGGACATAAGGGTTAGATGTGTCCAGGGATGACTGGATTCTAATGGTAAAGTGCAGGACATCCCAGTCAAGTGTCTCATATTCAGGGATTGAGATTCTAGAAAACATTGGTCAGATGAACATTAAATCACATCATATTATGGGAAAATTGATTACAGGCACTCAGGGAGTTAATTACTGGTGATTAGAATTCCTAACAGACTTGCCTATTCTCTTTCAGAATAATGCAGCCTAGGATAGATCGTGGTGGACAATAAGATTTGAAAGCAGCTTGCCTGAAGCACTGAGAAGTCCTATGTTTTTAGTGGATCCTGCTAGGCCACTAAAGGTGCATCTATACAGCAGGGCTTAACTCAAAATAAGCTAAGCAAATCGAGCTCTGTCAATTGTGTAGCTTATTCCGAAATAGCTTATTTCGAGCACTTATTTTGAATAAGAGCACTCTTCCTCCGACTTCCCAATTACAATGAGGGTTACATGAGTCAAAGTCAGAAGTCCTCCAGC